TGCTAGAATTATATAATAACTTTACAGCATATTTTTTACTGTCTAACCTTGCATATTTCCCTTAATGTTTGCAGATTGTTTTGTTCCAACTTGCACTACAATGAGAACAGTTCCAGACCACAAGCCAAAACTGTTGACGGCAAACTCAAATGGGCAATCAGTTATCCTAAAGCTTTCAAAGGAGAAAAGGCTGTCGCAAAGCCTTTGAAAGAAAAACCAACCTATGGTATAGTGTTTGTCTAGTGAAAGTACCATCTAGAATTCTTTAGTTCTAAAGGGGCAGAGAGGAGGGGAGACGCTTATTGCATAGGAGGGGGCCGCTTAATTGAGGATTTGCTGTATTAGCACAAACCAAATAAACACATTTCCTGTCTGAAGCCAGCAATAAGATTGTTTTCCAAGAAGTGTAGTCATTGAATATTGCACCAGCACCACTACAACTTTAGTTTACATAATATATTTTACATGCAGGTTATGTGGACTTAGTATTTGACGAAGTTGTCCAGCTTAGATTGCAATATAAAACCTTGAAAACAGCAAAACAACATGCCATGGAAACTCTGCCACACGAACCCACTTCATTAGTTGAAAAGTACTTGGCTGGGAGGGAACGTCCTTTGAAGGAGCAAGTTATTGCCAATCGACGTACACGTTACAGCTCACCAGCAGTTTCAACTACAAGTGCAGAAGTAGTGTCATGTTCATGTAAAGGGAAATGTGCAACAAGGGCATGTAATTGTAAAGGAAAAGATATTGATTGCACTGATGCATGCTGCTGTAGTGAAGTGAAATGTAAAAACCGCCAGTAATTAAACCAACCTGTTTCCTTAGATAGTTTCATGTTCAAGCTTATATAACTTAGTTTATAATAAGTTAAGTAACTTATTGTCAAAGAAACTGCACGACACACTCGAAATGAAACACCAATAAAAAAACACCCCCCAACAATCAAAGTAACTGTGCCAATGTTATATAGATATATGGTAATTACCTATTGCTCTTAGCATATTTGAAGTGTGTATACAATCCATCTGGCGATTCAAATACTCCCCGGATTTTGGAGTAAACACACGCTGGAAATGGACGTCGTACTTTTTTGCCAAGAATTTGGAAAATCCATCTTGAGCACCGTTGATATGAAATAAGACGATACAGGTTATGAATTTTCTCGATATCTTCATCGCCAACAGGCCAATTGTCTTCCAAGTAGCGGCAAATATCTACTTTAAGAACAGATTCAGAAAGCATATTGTTCTTGAAGTCGGAATGAGCTGTTATGTAAAGTTCGCCTTGTGCTTCAAYTTCGGACACCAAACCATCGTACTCGTCATACTCTACTGCTTTTTCATGACAGCAAAAACATTCAATAACTTTGGTTGACAGTGTACATTGCCCATTTTTACAGCAACTAAGATTTTGGAGGCGCCAGGCATTTTCAAGCTCGAAGGGTTCTTCGGTGTCTTCATCTTCCGAAGACGACTGGATCGAAGAATCGCAATTTACAATTTCATTTCTCGAGTTATCCATTGGCTCGGGTTCAAACATGTACGGTAGTTTTTCGTTCAGCTGATTAGCATGAATATCTTCCATATCAAAACTAAATTTCACCGCAAAAACTTTGTAAGGATCTTGTTCAGTACACAAAAATCTAAACTTGTTTTGATTCTACYCTGCTTGTGACGTCAWTAGGGATCATGTGACCAGAAGTTAATTAGAAATTGAACTATTCAAGATGGCGGACGGTAAGGATGTTTGGTCAAGTTAAATTGCCTTTTTCTTGACAAAATAATAACACATTTATTGTTGTATGATAGTGTGGTTCTTATAGAGATCACTTTATTCTATATTGCCAATGTCCTTTAAGCTTTATAAAGTTTTGTAGCAGCTTAGAAGATCTGAGAATACTGTGACGGATTTGTATAAGAAATCGCACAACCTTGAGTACAATTTGGAATTAATTGCACGAGCTCGAAGAGAGGTTGTGCGATGTTCTTGTTTTAATAATATACATGAAAAAATTACTAAATTCTGATTGGATGACAACATCTCAATTAATTCTTAATTCAGTGCAATAACATTTCTGCAGTGCAATTACAACATACTGAGCAGTGCAAAAAGCTGTAATATCAGTGCAATTACAAACAAATTTGCGCTTTAGATTGGCTAAGAAACAAAAGAAATGATTTCAGCCAATAAGAATCAAGCTTTCTTTGAAACTGAAAACGTTTCTCAAGAATCCAAGATGCGGAAACGGATTCCTTCGGATTTTTTCGGTACAAAGGGGTCTTGTAAAATTCTACATGATTTTGCTCTTATCTTTTGACCTAGTCGCTTGTTTGTTTACTCTTCGCTTTTCTTTCAAAGAACAATTTTTCCAAACTCCTTAAGCAATGTTGAGTTCACAATATTCAATTTTAGTCAAACATCATTTTGCTAAAAGAGTTTTTGATTGACTTTTTGTGACATTTTTCGCACTCGTCTTGTTCGGGCATCTTTTAGACTTATTTTTCACCTTTTAATTCACAAAGCTATTTTTAAATACGTTTTTCGCAATATGTCGTTTCTGAGTTAAACATCCCAAACCAGACTCTTCCTGTAGATGGTTAATCGACTGCATTTTATACATACTTGAAATATGAGTCAAAAAGATCATAATTTCTGCATATTGCTGTATTTAAGTGGAACTAGACGATCAGCGATCGTTTACATGGGCTTCCTTTGGTATATCACAATCAGTAAATGATATTGAACCCTAATGAAATTAATATTACTAAGACAACAGCAAAAAAGATTTCCTTTAATGAAAAATAATCAAACAAGCAATGTACTCAGTAGAATTTAATAATATTGTGAAAGAGGTAATTTATGTTTGGCGAACCGTTAGTTTTAGAGTCGCATCCTTGGCTGTAAGAACAGCCAGTACGTCGATAGTCTTTCATGTTCTTCGCTTAAAATACTTCTAATCATCTGTTTTTCCTCAGTATAAATCTGTTGACATGTCTTAGTTAAGTCCTTGGTGATTGTAGAGCCTGTACTTGTATAAGTTAGCTTTTTATAAGCTATGATGTTTGATAGATAAATTCGTGGTATCTCTCCAAATGCCCTTTTGAGAAACGCTCACATTTTCAAAATTCGATTTGTAAAAGAATCTAGCGTATTTGTAGAAGCTAGATGACCTAGATAATTCGACATGTTCGATCTTAAAACTTTGCCGGCTATACGAAGGTCCGAAGAAGCACGAGGCGACCTTTGAATCGTTGCTTAGAAACATGAATGACAGTAAGACAATAGATGTCAARAAWGAWDAGGTCCCGGATATAATTTGAAGCATACCACAGACGAAAAACGTCGGTAATTTAAGACATGGTCTTCCTTTGGAAGCCCATGTAATAAGGTATTTAAGTGGAATAAGGTATGTAATGTCCACAACGTATAAGTAATGTCCACAACAGTTTACAGCTGAAATTACTCAAAAAATCAAGGGTATAGAAATGAAACGTTTATGCTAAAATAGTTGTACCATCAATCTAACATAGGATTCTAAATAGCTCTTTAGTGTGTCTAACCAATCATTCATGAGATTGCAATGTCCACAACGAAAATTCAATCATCCCTCCTGTAGCAGAAAATTAATATTTTGCAAATTGGTCATGGCCATGTGATAAGTGTAGATGATGGCTACCTATTAATATCAAATTGCGAAATTTATGTCGCGACCGGATGTTGCGTTACTTGTATGTGATTTTACTAGACATGATTGTAAACAGTGTAACCTGAGATGTTAGCGTGGGGGTGTGGAGTAGAGAGTTTTACATGTACTGTGAGAGAGAGCGAGCGAACAGAGAGTCTGAAATCAAATAAACGAATTACAACGAATTGTGGCGGGAATTTAGTTCACGACACAAAGTATTCGAAGCAGCCAAGTTTACCTTGCACAAATGGCACTCCAACGAACCTGAACTTGAAAGTGAAGAGGAGAGAAAGGATGAGCAACCGAGCTACGCGAAACAAGGGCTGGGAGTGAATCAAGGTGAGACGAAAATGCTGGGCTTTCCGTGGGACAAGAATAAAGACACGTTAGCTGTGACCTTTCCTGAGAAACCGGTAGAAGTGACAAAGAGAGAGGTACTACGATTCCTTGCCTCAGTGTACGACCCACTCGGTTTGGTATCACCTGTCACACTCGTTGGCAAACTCCAGTATCGCGACGTCTGTGAGCG